GCACAAAAAGATGTGCAGAAGCGTAGTATGAGTACACCACAGCGGTACCCAGTAAGTGCCAAGCCTAACCTCAATAGAGTAGTGACGAGGTCAGGTCAGGCCCTACTGGAGAATAGATAATGACATGGAAAAATGTTTAAACAATTTAATAAGATAAAAATGACTGCGAAAATGAATCAAATAGTATGTCAAAATAATATCTTGTGGAATCAAAACAGAATTTTCTTTCAACTTTATGAAAATCACAACAATTAATCGAAGGCAACTATGACCATAAATCAATATCAACAAGGGCNCAACAAAGGCGCACGATAAGGAATCAAATAAGTGAATAATTCCTAACAGTTCCATAGCCTCTCGAAGATAAGTACAGACGTCTCCGTACCGATCCGCAAGACTCTACTAAACCTGCTTGTGACTCATAACACCTATGAACCTAGTGCTCTAATACCAACTTGTCATGACCCCAAANATTTTTCCGAAATAGCATCCCGCGTTTTAGCCTCCCTTATCACACCGCATGACTTCTAATAGTCATCCTTACTAGTCACGCGTATCAAGCCACCCTTATCTCACCGCATGCGTTTCAATTCCCAGACTTTATACCACCGCATGCGTATCAATATCACAATATATCACAATTTACACCTCAAGTGCCCAATATTTCAATTTTCCAAAAATAAATCAACAACAATATTTTTTTCAATAATAAAGAGCTCACGGCTCATGCCAAAATAATTCAAAAATAATATTTTTTCACAATAAAGAGCTCACGGCTCCATCATAATGAGTACCAAAAATCTTGCGAAAATAATCAGGAATAAAATAATTCAGGAAAATAATATTTCATATTAATAATACTTAATTTAAAGAAAAATCAACCTTCAAATAATGCACAGTATAAAAGAAACCAAGTTTCAATCAAATAGGTAAAACAATTAGCAGGAAAAATGTCAAGCAAATTTAAGGTATACAAATCAAATCATTAATGGAGAATATAACAAGATTTAATAATTTAATTAATATGTAACAGTGATCTTCATAATTTGAACATATAATCCTTCACATTTAGTCCGTGTACACACTCGTCACCTCGTGTGCACGACTTTCATCATATTACAATTAATACCAATCCTAGAAAAAAATTTCCCATACAAGGTTAGACAAGTCACTTACCTCGACTTGCTCCAATTTAACGAAGTATTACGCTTTTTCTCAATTTTTCGACTCCGATCGACTCGTATCTAGTCATAAGTAATTCGATACAGTCAACAAAAATTATAGGAATCAATTTCATAAGAAAATACTATATTTTTCAATAAAATACGAAATTAGCTCAAAATTTTCTCGTGGGGCCCACATCTCGGAATCCGGCGAAACTTATAAAATCTGATAACTCATTCAATTACAAGTCTAACCATACCAGTTTCACTCCAATCGGACTCCGGATCGACACCGAAATCTCAAAAATTCATTTCTATGAGATTTCTAAAATTTTCTAAATTTCAATCTCAAAACACTAATTAAATGGTGAAAATAATAATATATTTCTGTATATAGACCAATTCCGAATTGGAATCACTTACCCCAAATGTCTTTCCTTGAAAATCTGTCAAAAGTCGCCTCTGTTCAAGCTCAAGTTTGTCAAAAATGGCAAATGTTGAATGCCACTGTTTTTATAACTTACAAATCTGTCCAGTTCGATCTTGGGAGCTCTATCTGTCCAGTTCGATCAGGGACCTCGATTTTGACAGGCAGCCCGATTTTGACAACATTTCCAGCAGAAAAATTGCAGCCGCTTTTGCAGCAGCTAAGTACCACTTTTGATCCGTTAACCATCCGAAACTAACCCGAGGCCCTCGGGACCTCAACCCAAAATACCAACAAGTCCTGAAACATCATACAAACTTATTGAAACCTCAAATCACATCAAACAACGCTAAAATCACGAATCATGCTCCAATTCAAGCTTAATGAAACTTAGAATTTTTCAACTTCTACATTCGATGTCGAAACCTATCAAATCAAGTCCGATTGATCTCAAATTTTGCACCAAAGTCATAAATGACATAACGGAGCTGTGAGAATTTTCAGAACTGGATTCCAACCCCGATATCAAAAAGTCAACTCCCCGGTCAAACTTTCAAACTTTAAATTTCTATTTTAGCCATTTCAAGCCTAATTTCACTGCGGACTTCCAAATAAAATTTCGATCACGCTCCTAAGTCCAAAATCACCATACGTAACTGTTGGAATCATCAAAATTCTATTCCGGGGTCATTTGCACATAATTCGACATCCGGTCACTATTTGAACTCAAACTTTAAATTTTTTATCAAAATTCCATATCTCGGGTTAGGGACCTCGGAATTTGGTTCCGGGTATACGCCCAAGTCCCAATTCACGATACGGACCTACCGGAACTGTCAAAATACTAATACGAGTCTGTTTGCTCAAAATTTTGACCAAAGTCAACTCAGTTTTGTTTTAAACATCTAATTCACATTTTAATCCATTTTTCACCTGAAAACTTTCCGTAAAATTTTTACGGATTGCACACGCAAATCGAGTAATGGTAAATAGTGTTTAGATCACATAATTAATCATTAAATTTAAAGATGATATTTTGGGTCATTACAGCCCGTATCTGCGAAAAGGGGCTGCCAGTCGAGGTTCCGCATCTGCGGACAAAATGTCGCACCTGCGACGTCCGCTTCTGCGCACAAGGGCTGCATCTGCGATGTATGTCTCGTTTCTGCGAGCTCGCACCTACGGTCAAAATTCTGCAGGTGCGATTATACGAGAACCCAAATTTTAGATTTTTGCTTAAGTCCAATTCTTGTTACGATTTCGATCCGTTTCACTTTTGGGGTATTCGAGACCTCGTTCGAATATACCAACAAGTTCCGTAACATAATACGGACTGACTCGGGGTCTAAAATCACGTCAAACAACACTGAAATTATAATTCATACCCCGATTCGAACTTTGAGTTTTAAACTTTCAAATTGCAAATCTCGTGCCAAAACATATTAAATGAATCCGGAATGACTTCAAATTTGGCACACAAGTCATAAATGATATAACGGAGCTGTTCAAATTTCCAGAATCGGATTCCGGCTCCGATATCAAAAAGTCAACCCCGTGGTCAAACTTGGAACATTTAACCTTTAAATTGCTGGTTCCGTTAAATGGTCATAACTTGAGCTAGGGACCTCCAAATTAAATTTCGGGCATACGCCCAAGTCTCAAATCACGATACGGAGTTATCAAAACTATCAAAATATCGATCCGGGTTCGTTTGCTAAAAATGTTGACTAAGGTCAACTCACTTGAGTTTTAAAACTTTATTTCCCATTTTAATCCATTTTTCACATAAAAACTTTTCGAAAAATTATACAGACTGCACACGCAAGTCGAGGAATGATAAATGGTACTTTTCGAGGTCTTAGAACACAAAATTACTTATTAAATTTAAATATGACAATTTGGATCATCACATTTCAAAAGAATAATCCTAGGAATAACTAATAAACGACAACTAGACTTCAGAAAATCATAAGTATAATCACTATCGATAATCTAGGTTGGATCCATTGTTTCATTTTCATATTCTTCTCTAGTAATTTTGTAATAGCAAAAAGAAAATAGAAGAAGAAAGAACATGCAAGTTTCTCTTTTACCTTTCTGTTTTTGTTAACTTCAATAAGGTACCCATTTGAAGCTGATATATTTTCTTTTTATAAGTTAGTGGGACTCATAGGATCACTAACTAAATTTTTAAATCAAATTATAGACATAAATTTCTTATGGTCCTTGTACAATGCCATTTAACTAATTCACCCCATTTTACTACTTATACTTTTAGCTATTTGCAGTACAAAATTGCATCATCCTTTTACTTATGTATTTGATATTTCTTGGTTGGGGAACAAGTTACTCCCTGCTATTCATAATAAATAAATTTTTTTATTTTTGACATACCCGTTAAGAAAATACTAACTCATAGAAAAAAAAATAAGGTTATTCGAGCCAAGGTGGGTGTGGCCCCTATTGAGGATAAAATGCGGGAAGCGCGGCTTAGATGATTTGGTCATGTGAGGAGGAAGAGCACAGACGCTCTGATGAGGAGGTGTGAGAGATTGACATTGGAGGGCCTACGAAGAGGTAGAAGTAGGCCAACGAATAGGTGGGGAAAGGTGATTAGGCAAGACATGACGCAACTTCAGCTGATCGAGGACATGACCCTTGATATAAAGGTATGGAGGTCGAGGATTAGGGTAGTAGAATAGGTAGTCTAGGGTGTTCATAACAGTAGTATTGACACACAATCTCGCTTTCTGTTGGTAGTAGATTTTTATAACTAACCGTTATTTTCTTTCATTGTTGATCACCTTACTATCTTGTTATTTTTATTCTGCTTTTATATGACTTTTTGGTACTGCCCCTTCTTGTCTATATTTTCATTAATGCGGTGCTTATGTTTTCTTGAGCCGATGGTCTATTGAAAATAACCTTTTTATCCTCATAAGCTAGGGGTAAGGTCTGCGTATACACTACCCTCTCGAGACCCCACGGCGTGGGATAATACTGTGTAGGGGTGTACCTGAGGCGATTTGGTTCGGTTTTTTATTAAACCAAAATCAAACCAACTATGTCGGTTTACTAAATTTATAATCAAATCAAACCAACATAAACTCGGTTTTTTCGGTTTCGATTTTTGTCGATTTTTTCGGTTTCTTCGGTTTTTCGATTTTTCTTTTTAATTATATTATGCTTGAAAAAGAGATCAAATAATCACCAATTGTCCTCATGATTACTATTCATTAAAATAATATATGAGGAATAACAATTGTTCGTATGAATCATAATTCCAAGACCTTCCATAATAGAAAATGACAACAAACATGTGATAAACCAAAAGTTACAACCCAACTTGTAGTTCCACAAAAAATATTAAGTTAATTAAAGTTGGCCAAGACAAAAGTTAGAAATAAGTAGCAAGCAGCCAAGCACCATGAATAGGTTGACACTATTTTGTTTAACTGAAGTTCTAAACTAATCAATACTCAAAGGGTCACCTGGACATTCTGGAAAAAAAAACAGTTATATGTTAAACAATATAAAGATAGAATTAAATTCATTACGAATTAAATATATAAAATTACCTTCTTCAACTTGCTCAATTTTCTTAATTTCTTCTAGATAGTCTTGAAGCTTGCATTCCTTCTTAGAGAACCTTTAACATTAAGAGTGATTTCATCACAAATGTAAGTGCAATATTGGATTGAAAGAACACAACTCGTAACATCAAATTTCAGGACCAACAATCTAAGATAACAATTATACCCAAATTTAAAGGGACAAAATAACATAATTGATTTAAATAAATACTTTAGCTTACCAAATTGAGTTAGAGCAGTAAGACTAATATGTAATTACAAACTTGAACAGTGGCTCGGAATTGCAAAGAAGGAAGCTCGTCGTGAAGTGGATGGAAGGGTTTTCACTATTTGGGGTTTTTTGACTTTGGAGTTGGAAGATAGGGAAGATACAGAAGAATGAAGACAAGGAATAACCTATTTTATTGTCTTTTCTTATTGGGTTTTAGTTTGGGCTTCAAATTTAGGTTGTATAATTAGAATCTATTAAGTGGATAGTGAATTTACAAGCCCACAAATAAATAATATCTCAATACATTAAAAACTATAAAATAATTTAGAAAATACTTACAAATTAGATTTTAATGATTATTTTTAATGTATAAATATATATTATGTCGGTTTGGTTTAGATTCGGTTTGACTTTTTTTTTTGTTAATACCAAACCAAACCAAGAGTGATCGGTTTTTTATTTTCCAACACCAAACCAACCAAACCAAACCACAAGTCGGTTTTTTTCTTCGGTTTGACTTGGTTCGTCGGTTCGCTTTGGCTTGACGGTTTGGCTTGTACACCCCTAATACTGGGTATGTTGTTGTTGTAACTCAAAGAAAAAAAGTATTTTAATTAAATTACCCTTAATTAAAACTTGCATATTGATAACTTTATATATTGGGATATATAAATAAAGGTAAATTTTGAAAAAATAAATCCAATTCCCTCTTGATTATGTAAAAGGATAATTATTTCAGACCAAATTAAAGAGGCCAAAATGTCGCTTATTATGGATCAGATGGAGTATTAGGGATGTACATAGGTCGGGTTGGTTTGGATTTTTCAATTATCAAACCAAACCAATAGTGTCGGGTTTTTAAATTTATAAATCAAACCAAACCAAACCAATAGTGTCGGGTTTTTAAATTTATAAATCAAACCAAACCAAACCAAACCAATAAAGTCGGGTTTTTTAATCTCGATTTTTCTCGGATTTTTCGAGTTTTTTTCCCGGTAAAGTCTTCATAGCATAAAATATGTAACTTGTGCTCCAAATATTTCTTAAGTACTAGTAAAATACAACTACATATAATGTATTTTCCAAGAAACTAACACGATAATATGAGATAATTCATAGCATTATACTAAAATATTCAATAACAAAGATAAAATAATAAAATTACATAAAATAAATATTGCTAATTAATANCATATAATGTATTTTCCAAGAAACTAACACAATAATATGAGATAAGTCATAACATTATACTAAATATTCAATAACAAAGATAAAATTACATAAAACAAATATTGCTAATTAATAAGCCATAAATAAAAATAAACATAATCTAAAAAATACTATATAGGTCATGCTAAAATAAGTATATCTAATAGGTACTAATATTAATTACATAACTAAGCACTAAAGAAAAAGATAAATTAAGTTATGCATTTTTATTATAAACCCATGTAAAACTAAAATAATTATCTAACACTATCGTCATTCATAGTATTGAATTAAATTTCTTTTGTTAGTATTAGTATTGATTTGAACTTTGTTTGAATTACTACATTTATGGGTTATAAAATTTATTTACCATTTAAGAATATTCAGTTTAAACTTGAAATAATACGCTAAAAGATAAAACTGTAAAAAAATTAAAGTAATATTTATAAATTATAATAAATATTTATATGTATAAAATATTTTTAAAAATTATATAAATATACTATCGGATTGGTTTAGTTTCGGTTTGACTTTTTTTAGTTAAAACCAAACCAAACCAATTATGTTCGGGTTTTATTTTCCAATACCAAACCAAATCAAACTAAACCACATCGATTTTTTTCCGGTTTGACTCAGATTATCGATTTGGTGCGATTTATCGGTTTTCCTTTTACACGCCTATGGAGTATTACAATACAATGATTAATGACATTTTCTACAATCTAAGGGGTGAAATTGACAAATATACCTTTTTTCAGCCTCATTATGTCATTATCCTCTTCTTTCTAATTTCATTCTCTACTCAGAACTCAGAAGAATGCCACACTAGACCAAGCAGAGAATCAATGGCAACTCTAAGCCTCAATCTTTATTCTCCTTCAGTGAGGCATCAATATCTCCTCCCCAAATCTCATTATTCAAAATCCAATTTCAGAATCTCATGTTCCACCTCTTTCTTGCAAAATAAAAAGGTGCAATTTTTATTCACCAGAACTTGATTTTTATTTATTTGAATTTCAAGAAAACGATTTTAACAATTACCCAATTGATTTTCATTGTTAGTTTTGTGTGTTTTTATGGTTCTTGAGCAGTTTAAGAGGGAGTATACAAGTGTGATGATAGTGCCAACAGGTGTAGGAGCAGCCATTGGTGGCTATGCTGGAGATGCTTTACCTGTTGCTCGAGCTCTTTCCTCTGTTGTTGACTGCCTTATCTCTCATCCTAATGTATGATTAATTTTATGTTCTTATGTTACTAGCATAGCATCATTTATTTATTTGCTTATTTTTTCTTTATAATAATAAAAATGATAGTCTTGGCGTAACTAGTATAGTTACTATCATGTGACCAGGAGGTCACGGGTTCGAGCCATGAAAATAGCATCTTACAGAAATACAGGGTAAATCTGCATACAATAGACCCTTTGTGTGGTCCGGGCCTTCCCCGGACCCGCGTATAGCGGGAGCTTAGTGCACTGGGCTGTCCTAATAATAAAAATGATGTGCTTATTTTATCTGATGTGGATATTGACATTAGTACCATTGAGCGACACACAGGGTCGGAAGGGTTTTAAAATAGTGTGTTTCAACAACAATTGGTGTCTAGATGAAAGTAAGGGGTCCGCGATGTCAAAACCAAATAATATGTTCATGCTTGATATTTTAAAAATTATAGTGGGACAATTTGTTGTAGTAGGATTAACTAAAGATTGAATTAATGGAGTTGATGAAGGAGCTTACTGATCCATCTAAATTCACACATTGTATATGTATTGAATTGGCAATCGAAGTTAAGATATTTTTAGAATTCAAAGTGGGGAAACTTCAAGTGAAGAACTCATTGATTGCTGGTTTTCATCATTGAAATGTAGAGTGTAATTTTTCTTTTAAGAAAAATTTTGAGGCTTCGAATGTAGCTTGTCCTTACTCCTTAATATAATAGCACATTTATAGAGAAAATGATGCAGGTATCACTATACCTAAGAAATTGTGCTTCAACCTAAAGTAGCTACAAAGGATATCGTGGATAGTATAGCATTTTAGACGCATAATACATTGAGCTATGCTTTTTTTGAGCAATTTGATAGCCTCTGCAACGTTACATTTACATTCTGTAAAATTTCACTTCCTAGCTGAGTCTCTATCTTGGAACTTAAATTCTTAGTATGTCCCCAAAAGAATACTTCTGTGGAACAAAAAATTCAATATAGAGAGGCAAGTCAAGCAACTGAGCGATTTGATGGGACTTGATCCACAATAATGAAGAATTGAAAAATATTTCATATACTTTAGGGCCATGATAGAGTAAATTCTAGTTGTTTCTTTAGATTGTCAATGGAATAAGGAATCAACATTCACACATTGGATCAGAAGAAAGAAAAGTGACAGGAACTATGCTGGAATAATTGCGTGGATGAAGTAAATAGGTTGTCAATCTAGGAAACACGCCTACGTTTTGGTTTAACATGCATTATTCTTAGCTCTCTGTAAAATTGTAAGTCATACAGGTTCTTAATGCAGCAATGCTGTACTGGCCGATGCCGAATGCACTCTATGTTGAAGGCTATGCACTAGATCGATTTGCCGAAGGCCTTTGGGGACTGCAACCAGTTCATCAAAATAGGGTAAGCTGTCAAAAATTTTGCTTGTATATCCTGTGAAATCAGAACTGTATTCGAGCTGTTGCTGCATCATTTAGCTTGCAATCACATTGTGAACTTGTAATGTGAAAGCAGGTGGGATTAGTTTTTGATGCTGGGATAGAGAAGGAGCTTCTTATTCGTCATCTACAAGTAGTTGATGCAACAAGAGCTTCTCTTGGATTGCCAATAGTGGGATACACTGTAACTGATACACCTCTACTGGTATGCTTTTTGGTTTCTAAGTTGAATTCAAGTAGATGTTGCGGGGGTTATATTTAGTTACTATTTCATATATCATAGTAGATCAGAAATAATCTGATTTTCTTTGGCTTAGACAACAGTTTCATTGTCACATCTATTTATTATTAACTTCACATTAACTTCTAATGTATTGCAAGTAGCTAACATGCGGTGTATGTAAACTGTAAAGGTGGAGAAATGGGTTGACCCAACAAGTGGCCAATCAACAGGGAGGATACAGCGTCCAGATTCACTATTGAGAGCTGTGGAGAACTTGCAAAATAAGTTTAAGGTAAATGCAGTTGCAGTGGTGGCTCGCTTTCCAGACGATGATACTGAGGACTTGGATGATTATCGACAAGGAGTGGTATTAATTTTTTCAATGAATATCTTCTTACTTCATTGCAAATGTAGTCACCGATAGTATCTATCTGAAATTCCTAGATACAAGACGGTCTCAATTCATGAGCTCATTACAGAATAAATATGTTTCAGCAACTCCTAAAGTGCTATGTCCTAAAGTTTGAGTCTCTACAATTTTGCCATAACTTATGTGTGAAATTATATAACTAGAAGGTGTAATATTTGAGTTCATTATAATATCAGCTTGAGTTATCTTCTTCCATTGATTAGTCTGCTAAAGTTGTACTGTTTTAATTTGACAGTTTATAATGAGGAAATTCATCGCTATTATGCAGTACTTAAGTTCCTGATTTCAGTTTTATTCTATACCCTTTAAATCTACAGGGGGTAGATCTTTTGGCAGGTGTGGAGGCTGTTATAAGTCATCTAGTGGTGAAAAATTTTCAGTTTCCCTGCGCACATGCTCCGGCAGTATTGCCTCCTCAATTAAACATTTCTCTATGTCCAAAATCCGCTGCTGAAGAGGTTAGTTATTGTCCTTTGATTATAACAAGATTTATGCTTTCACCATGTATAATCATGAATTGAAGGCTGTGTGCTGTTTAATCATGAAGAAGTTTGTTGTTCATTAAATGACTGGGAACTAATGTAGAATGGCCAGAGCATAGCTTCTCTGCAGCTTTTGGTTTGCTAGACAAGGATAGTGCATGAGATTTTGTTTTGTTTTGTAGTTTCTTCTTAGGGGATTATAAATGATAATCATTTTAAAATGGAAGCATGATAATCCTTAGCCATTTAGCTCTTCTCTTGCGTGAGATGGTCATTTTCAAGAGAAGGAGCTAAATAGTTCGTACACATTTGTTGCTGAACTTTTCTTAGATACTATTGGAGACGCCTTAATAGATCCTCTGATGTATGGGATGTTACTAAGTTTTGAGCTTTTGGTTTAGCTATCCTATTAAGTTAATGCGTGGTTTTAGTAGTTCTTGAAAGTTACTTTATGTGCATCTTTCGCTGGTTTATTGCAATAATTGCTTACTCAATTCCTTTTGTTTACTTATTTTGTGCTTACACTTGATAAAGCCTTATTAAGGTAGGGGTAAGGTCTGCGTACACACTACCCTCCCCAGACACCATTTATGGGATTACGCCGGGTTTGTTGTTGTTGTACTTGATATAGCCTTATATCTATTTGTATTTCCTTTACTCTGTCGTAAACTTTTTGTTGACAAAATTTTACCCTGTGCTAGCTTTGTTATGTTCATATTGTTTGAAATCCAGCTATACGTGTCGTTTTTGTGTTGAGTCCATGTCCATATGGACAGTTTTTGGGCAAAGGAAAAGGCATTTTAAATCTGCAATTCAAGATGCTGTGACAAAATTCTCAATTTTAGTTTCTTCTCAGTGTTTACTACATGAATTCTGAAAAGTCAAACCTGTTCAGAATATTAAAGTATATTCATTTGGTTTTCCTTTGTATAGTTAGCTGGACTTGCTAGCCACATTCTTTAAGAAGAGTTTAGGATGTTTGGGAATTATTCATATTTTATGATACATGCTGTAGAAATATTTTCTGTTGGGCATTAAAATGAGTAAGAGGGAGATATGAAAACCATGAAGGTGTATAAAACTGCTAAGATAGTACACTTGCATTCTCTAGTCTCTTTTTCCACTTGTCATTCTCATAATATTTTTGTTTTCTTCTGTCAATTTTCGGACAGATAGGATTTACATTCTTGCCATGTGTACTTGCTGGGCTTAGCACTGCACCACAGTATTTGGTCAAGGGAAACAATTTTTCAGAGGACTGCATTGTAGCAGGTGATGTTGACAGTGTAATTGTACCGATCGACGCTTGTGGCGGAGATGGTGTTCTTGCTTTTGCCAATGGCAAAAGACACAAGGTAATTGGCTCTTGATATTTTGACATCAACTGGATGAGTCTAGTGTTTGCTAGGCTTGGAGATAGGCCTTTCCCTTGCGACAGCTGACTAGTTGATTCAATCGGAATCATCCCACTCCCCTTTCCCTTCTAACGGTAGGGAAAAAGAAAACACCTCATTCCTTTTCATGTTTATTTTTTGATAAGGTAAATTGTATTAATCAAAAGGGAGAAAAAACTCTCGCATACAAGAAGTATACAAAAAAGTAGAGAATTTACATCAGAACATGATTCTCTACAAATGACGCCCTATCTTCTACACAAGTAGGGGCTATATGTGTGCACCAAAAAGCGATCAAAGATAAAAGACTATTCTTTAAGATGTGAAAACGGAGACTCAATCCCCTCAAAAATTCTCCTATTTCTCTCTCCCCAGACTAACCACATGAGAGCTAACGGGGCGAACTTCCACGCCTTTTGCTTGCTTCTTCTACGGAAACCGGCCCAGCTATATAGCATTTCCTTTACAGTGTTTGGCATCACCCATTGAACAGCAAAAAGATTCAGGATTGCCCTCCACAAACCCCAGGACACACGGCAATGCAACATAAGATGATCAACTTCTTCCCCTGAGCTTTTACACATGTAGCACCAACTAACATGTGTAATTCCTCCTTTTCATGTTTATTAAGTATTCCATGCCCCAACTTACACTACTTTTCTCTTCTTCCTTTTGTCGTGACAGTGGTACCATATCGGTTGGCTAAACTTCCTCTAATACTACTAATGCTAGATAGGAAACGACTTGTCAGATACCTTCAGCATTCATGATAATAATGCCATTTTTCCTATTTGCTCATATTTTGCAGCCTCTTATAATTGCTGTTGAAGAGAATCAAACAGTTCTAAATGAAACGCCAGACTCACTCGGTATCGAAGCTGTAAGTTGAAATCTTACTTCCAGTACCGTGTTTATTTTCTCATCTAGCTGTCATATTGGCAAGCCGCAACTTAACATGAAGTGCCAATGCCTGTAGCCAAATACATTTTCATTTGATAAAACTGGTGACTTTGGAAAAAAAGTGTCAATGCTTGCGTCATATATGTAGAAAGCTTTAGCTTGTAGCATGTAAGCTCATCAACGATCATTACCTGCGCAGTGCATAATTTGCAATAACATTGTTGATTAAAGATACTAGGGGAGATACTAATTTAAAGGGGAATATGAATACTAAGCCCCCCTCGTGAAAAAAAGAGACTAGTCAACATAAAAGTCCATTCCTTTCTTATAGAAATAGGATCTGGTGGTGCATGCAAGCTGGTCCTGACACTACTGTTATAGGACTTGCACGTTTTCCTTTATACTAAATCTCTTTTTATATCATGCTGTCCTACATGAGAATTTGGAGTATGAGAATGGAGTTTATTTTCCAGGTGAAGGTCTCAAACTACTGGGAAGCCATAGGTGTAATTGCAGCTCACAAGGCAGGAATAGACCCAAATTCTCTTAGAAGGAATAGAATCAAGAACATTGCACCAATATCTTTTGTTCCTTCAAATGGTTATGCTACATCAAGTGCCAAATCACTTGTTTGACCACAAAAGTTATAGATATTCATCATATTAAAGGGCAACCCGGTGCACAAGGCATCTCGCGTTCACGCAGGGTCCGGGGAAGGGCCGCACTCTAAGAGGTGTGATGTAGACAGCCTAACATTCATCATATTACACGAATTAATTTGATTTGTATAGCGCAAAAGGTGAGTTTAAATTGGAAACATGGTCAGTAAGGATTTATATATTCGAGCCCAACTAGTTGGGACTGAGGCGTAGTTATTATAGTATAGCGGAAAATGTTTTATTTTCTTCCTTCACTTTTCATTCTTAGTTTTTGTATTATCATTAATTGAGTACATAGGGGAGTATTATAATATGATCTGCTCATTTTTTAGATTTCATTTTGGTGTTTATTTTCAATTATATTTTGGAAACTCATTTCGTTATGTGATGGATTCTAGAGAAAGTAGTGTTGTAAATCTAGGTATTGTGTTAAAATCACCAGAAGCTATTTTGCGCTATGAAGAAGGTAAAACCTTTTTAGGGCAAAACCAAAATTATTTATATCCGGCAGCCATAAAAATATATAAAAGTTGTATATTTTTTTGTATATAACATACAAAAATGTATACATATATACAAAATATATATTTTTTTAGCTATTATTTTGAGATGGGCTATACAGTGTCATTTTCCCAACTTCTTAATTCTTTACTGGTCTGTTTGAGATCAATCTGAGCAATCTCTACTCATTTATTTTAGAATAGAAAACCTGATTTCTAATAGTTCTATAGTATGCTATTGATTCTTTCTTTTCTTTACTCTTAAAGCTTTAAAGAAGATTAATAATACCGTTGAATCAATTAAATTTGGATGAATCAAATCTCAAAATAAAACCAAAAGCAATCACAGAATATAACTAACCAAATGTATAGGAATACCTTTTCTTTTTTGGCAGTCTTAATCATCATGCATGCTGTGGATCTAGGATCTCTGTAGTATTATATGACATTTGATTATTTGTCATTTTCAAAATAGTTTAAGTCAACACTTTAAAATATATCGGACGTATTTGCATTATACTCGTTTTGTTAAGTTACCTTTTATCTTCGTAATCAAATAGGTTTAATTCCTAATCACATAGTAAAAAAATTAATTCGAAGTACTTATCTCTTACCTTTGGACCAAAAATATAGCAGATCTATTGCTCCATTCGTCCCAATTTATGTGCTCCTATTTTTTTGGGGTTTTTTTCACTTTTAGCCCGCACCGAAAATATTTACATTCGGTAGCCGAGTAAGTGTATAAAATTTGTATAATTTTTGTAAATATATAAAATATGTATATATTTTTTCGGTTATTATTTTGAGAGCAGTTATACAATGTCATTTTTCTTAATTTTTCCATAGTCTGTGGCCCAATTTATTTGATCCTTATTTAAATTTGAAAATGTTTTAATTTTAATTTTTAATTTTTTTTCTTAATGTTATTTGTAAATGACATTGTACTAATCGACAAGACGCGAGGCGGTGTTAATGCGGGGTTAGAGGTTTGGAGGCACACCCTAAAGTCTAAGGGTTTCAAGCTGATCAGGACCAAGATAGAATACTTGGAGTACAAGTTCAGTGGTGCGACTCAGGAAGTGGATGAATACGTGAGGCTTGATTCACGAGTCATCCCCAGCAGAGATAGTTTCAAGTACTTTAGGTCAGTTATACAAGAGAATGAGGAGATGGATGGGGATGTCACACATCGTATTGAGACGGGGTGGATGAAATGGAATCCCACTTCCGGTGTTCTGTGTGATAAGAATATGCCACCAAAACTTAAAGGTAAGTTCATAGAGCGATGGTCAAATCGACTATGTTATATGAGGCTGAGTATTGGCTAGTCAAGAACTCCCATATCCAGAAGATGAAGATGGCAGAAACGAGGATGTTGAGATAGATATGTGGGCATATCAGGTTAGATATGATTATGAGTGAAGCTATTCGGGACAAGATGGACGTGACATATATGGAGGACAAGATGTGAGAAACGAGATTTATATGATTCGGGCATGTGAAGAGGAGAGGCACAAATGCTCCAGTGAGGAGATGTGGTTAGGCTTAGAGGGCTTTAGGAGAGGTAAAGGTAGGCCGAAAAAGTATTGGGGAGAGGTGATTAGGCGAGACATGTCGATGCTCCAGTTCAACCGAGGACATGACTTTGGATATGAAGATGTAAAGGTTGAAGATTAAAGTAGAGGGGTAGCTAGCTGAACGTTATTCTTGCTGATGCCAGTAGTGTAGTGCATTACTTAGTGTTAGTATTGTAATTTCTTAATCTTAGATTTTTGTTATTACTTGTCGCCTCTTTCACTTCGATTTTCTGATTGCAGTACTTAATGTTAATCTTGTATGTTCGCTTCGATTTTCTGAGTGGTTGGCTAGTTGTTGCTCCTTCCTTTTATCTTTCTGAGTGGAGGGTCTTCCAGAATCTCTGCCTTATTAAAGGTAGGAGTAAGGTCTGCGTACACACTACTCTCCTTAAACTCCACTTGTGGGATTACACTAGGTTTATTGTTGTAATGGTTTTTAGTAATTTTTTTCGTAACACAACTATTATGACACATTTAAGATACACGGTCAAAAAAAAGAATTTCTTTACTAAGATATTATTAGGATGGATAGAATTATCTAATACTCCCTCCGTTCACTTTTATTTGTCCATTATATTAAATATATATTTTTATTTTTACTTTTTCACTATACTAAATCAAGAGAAAGATAATCTTCTTTTCCTTGTTTTACCCTTATCATTAACTATTCATTTTTCAAATTATTTCCCGTGACTTTTGAAAATGCTATCACTATTATGAGTAAAATTATAAAATACATATTTTATTTATTTTTCTAAAGAGAGTGCAAAGTCAAAAATAAATAACTAAAAGTGAACAAAGGTAGTATATGTATTGATAGAAAATAATAGTTACCTCATAAAATTAATCACAATAGCGCAAGATGATTCGATCAATATGATTGTAAAAAGGAAAAAAATCACAGTACTCGACCGAAACTCTCTCTCTCTATATATATATATTACTATTATTTTTAGAGCGGTTATATATTTTATTTTAAAAATAATGTTAGGGTAGAATTTCTACAGGAACGTGGGCTAAAAGCCTAAAGACTCTTGCACTTCGGGAAGCAAACCACACATGAAAGACAGCTCCATTTTATTTTTATTTTTTACACTATTTTCCACTTCCATATTTTCAGATCAGACTTTGAATACATTAAATTAACTTACACTCCTCAATCTTTCACGATCCTTAGATCATACAACAACAAGACAAAAATTTTATTAAAAAGATTCGGAAACAAACAATAAAAAAGACACACACAAACCTTTGACTTTTCACCAAAATCATGAAATTGAGATCAAAACAGCAAACCCCATTTGAATTCTTGAGTGTATGATGGAGAAAAAAGCAATCTTGATACTTTTGGTGCTGACACTGAGCCTAATCAGTGGCCAAGAACCAAAAAAGTTTGAAACTTTAAAGGCACCATATAGGATCCACACTTTATTTTCTGTAGAATGTCAAAATTACTTTGATTGGCAAACTGTAGGACTTATGCACAGTTATAGAAAGGCTCAGCAGCCTGGACCAATTACAAGATTGTTGAGTTGCACTGATGAAGAGAGGAAGAATTATAGAGGAATGGAGTTGGCTCCCACTTTTGAAGTCCCTTCTATGAGCAGACATCCCAAAACTGGTGATTGGTAAAGCTCCCAACTTTACTTTCTTCTGGTGTGGTGTTTTCAGTTTTTGTGGATGCATATGCTGTTTGGTGATCAAATGCTGAATTGGGGTTCTTGATTCTTGTGAATTTGATTTCTTTGAACCGTTAAGAAGATGAAAAGATGCTATTTTTCTGATTTTCTAACGAGGGCAAGCTTTGTCTAGTGTTGTATGATTGCCACGTAATTTGGTTTATGCCTTCAATTTTTTGTGGTCTTTTCTGTTTTTGTGGATGCATATGTTGTTTGTGATAAAAATGCTGAATTGGGTTTTTTGATTCTTGTTTAATTTGATGGCTTTGAGCAGTTAGGAAGATGAAAAATGATATCTTGCTGTTTTTCTAACGAGGGTCACCTTTGTCTTGTTTCGTGTGTTGGCCACCTTTATTCGGTTTTTGCCTTCAATTTTATGTATGGATTCAATGCTGAATTGGGTTTCTGATTCTTGTTGATGCATGTGTTGTTGATGATTAAATGCTGAATTGGGTTTTTGATTCTTGTAAATTTGATGGCTTTGAACAGTTAATAGTATTAAGAGATGAAATTATGGTGTTTTCCCCATGAAGGTATTGTGTGTCTACTGATTACCACCTTTATTAGGTATTTGCCTTTGATTGTATGTGTTGATTATGCTGAACTGGGTTCTTGATTCTTGTGACTTTGATAGCTTTGAACAATAGAATATGAAGAAATGCAAACATGTTTTTGTGGATGCATGTGTTGTTCGTGATTAAATGCTGAATTGGGTTCTTGTTCTTGCGACTTTGATGGCTTTGAATAATTTAGACGGTGAAAAGATGATATTTTGTAACAAGGGTCAACTTTGTCTAATGTTGTGTGATTGCCACCTTTTGCCTTCAATTTTATATATGGATTCAATGGTGAATCAGATTTCTGATTCTTGTGGATATCATGGCTTTGAATAATTTGGAATGGGAGCAGATCAATTTATGTTGTTTTTCCACTGAGGGATCAGCTTTGTCTTGTGTTGTGTGATTACCACTTCTTTTTGGTTTTTGCTTTTGATTTTCTATGTTGGCTTCAATGCTAAATTTCATTTTTAATTCTTGTGGCCTTATGGCTTTGAACAATTAAGAATACAAAGAAATGAGCTTATGTTGTTTTTCCCAACAAAGTTATCAGCTTGGTCTATGTTTGTGTGATTTCCTCCTTGATGGCTTTGAACATTTAAGAATGTGAAGAGATAAAAATATGTTATTCTTGACAAAGGTGTCAGCTTTGTAAAATGGGAGTATTTGATTGATCTTTCTTTATTTTCCTTCTACTTTTGGATATGCATTTGTGTATAGAAGTTAGTGTTGGTTGTTGTCACTGGTTGTTTTGAAATATCAAGAATTTAACAGATATAAAAAGTTCAAAGGTGATTGAGATATCTCTGATAATAGAAAGATTAGATTCCCTTCCGGTTCTTTGTCAGTTACTCTTTGTTTCTTTTTATTTATGTCGTAATCTTTCTGATCTGATTTGGAGGTACTTCTGCTGGTTAAAGGCAACACTAGAAGCATGAAATACAGTTTAGAGAAGATCATGCTGTTCTGTTTGTTTCGGCAGGTATCCAGCAATAAACAAACCAGCTGGAGTTGTTCACTGGCTT